TAAAAGTGTGTACACACTTATACAATCAGGTTTTTGTCAATTTTTTTCTTTTTCCACTTAAAATATTTCTATTTGTTTTCACTTGAATGTTATTCATTAAATAAATGATAAATGATAATTTAATATGTAGTAAGGTAGTATAATTAGTTTTTGAATATGGAACTGCCTGCAAGTATTATAAGCTCACACAAATCTCCTATTTTTTTATGTCCTGCTTTTTTTTAACCACACAGATCTATAAGTATACTTTTGTGTGAGCACTGTGACTTTTTTCCAGGATAGGTCGGCTGGATTTACCATCACAGCCTGTTCAATAGAAAATTCAGAAAATTACAAAGATTACAAAATTAGGATGCTCCTAATTCACTGGGTCAACATGAAGCATTTGGCAGTAAAATGGAAAACATGTTGATGCTTTAATTATCCATTTCACTGCATATTATAATTTTCTGAGTGAATCTAATTAAACTATCTTAAAAAAAATGTTGAAACATTTGATAAAAAGAAAGCATTGAAATGTGCAAACCCTTATAAGTGTTTCCTTAAAACTATTACATTTCTGATGCCCCTACCTTCATGCCATGGATGATGAATGGAATAGGTCTGTTAATGCAGAAGGGTGGAAGCAAGAGTAATTATCTCTCTATTCTTTTATAATTACACCAGACAGCTGTGTATTCATTTGAGTTGGGGTTATCCAATGTTTTTTTTTAAAGATGTTAATTACAAAGGACTGGCTTCAATTGTGATTATGTTTAAGTAAACCGAAAAAGTCACATCATATGTCATGCGTGCAGAACTCAAATGCAGGTCACAATTTTTTTTTTTTTTAGAAAAAGCCAGAAGTAGACTGTGGCAATTCTTTTTTATCCATCAGACATTGGCCAAATTGTTGAAAGTTGTATGCAGTATAAGACTTTAGAGAACTCTAGTTCAAGAAAATTCTTCAGAGTTGGATTTTCTCCACGTTTTTGTAATTTTTAGAGTCTGCTGCTTGTGAGGTGAATTGAAATTGCAATGAGAACACTGACAAGACTTACTTTTCCTCCACCTAACCCCATCTTCTCTGCTGAAACCATGCCAAATGAAATGTCTTTTTGGAAAAAAAAAAAACCACAGTGGAGCAGCTCCATATCAGCAGGAAGAGGAGCTAATTTCCTGGCTATAAAAATGTAAACCATAGCCTCAAATAAAGAAAAATTACAGATTTTCTAAAGCATTTTTGAGATTATATGATTATTATAGATCCAAAAAAGTTATATACTAAAAGGATTGAAAAATAGGAACATATTGACTACTTACTGTGTTCCCCTATATAAAATCCAAATGTTATTTGAAATTGTTAACGCAATAAGAAGAGGAATCTGATTACTGTCAGTAGTTGCTTTGGTATGAACTGATTTCAGTACTACTGTTCTTACAACTATATTGGCAATGAAAATTTGTCCATAGCATTTTAAATTGGAGCTGTGTGCAAGACAAATCTATAGCAATTACATACTCTCTTTAACCACACATATTTGTCTCACCTTCTCCACTAACACACAGTTTCCATCCCAAGTCAGAGCTTGCCCACACACACTCCACTAGCTAGCTTTCAGCATTTAGAGAAATCCATTCACATTAAAAGAGGCATCACAGAGGGGTTTTGTGGGTCTCAGTGGTGTCACAGGCTATGACAGAGTAGCACACTCCTCACCTCCTGCACTTTGTGCCACTCAGGGGCTTTAAAGATTTGAGCCTGTTTCCTCTGAAGGTGCAGTTTCCCCAGAGACTAATACCTCTATGTGTCCAGAGAAACTCCAAAGGACTTATTCTGCAGCATGCTCCAGTTCTCAATTTGTTTCATTTTGAAGTCTTATACCTAGGTGATGACTTTGCATGTCCCTCCCTTCACACTTAACATTAGTGCAGTGACACTTATACTATTATTTACACAGTTTTATATATAGTCAGTTGAATAAGCTGTTTCACTATTAATACTATTTATTTATACTATTTTCCTGTCATTTGGTAACCCAAGGTAGTAAATAAAGCATCGGCTCCTGTCCAAAAGTATTGTCTCCACCAGTCTCAAAAAAAAAAAACATCAAAGAAAAACCAGCTCAAAGGACTGGCCACCAGTGTTTATTTGGTAACTAAGAAACAGTAATAAAAACAGGATGTGTATATTAAACTGACCAAAGGGCAACTGATTTGGCATTCAGCAGCATTTGAATTATACTGTAACTGGATGTGCCTGTGTCTAAATGAAGCAATTTCATGGAGCAATCCATTAACTTTTGGCTGGAGAGAAAAAATAATCAGAATGGACATAGCCATCATGATGAAAATTTAGAGAGCACATTGACTGCTTCAGAAATTGTGTGCATTACTTTGCGCATTACTTAAACCATTAAACCCTTCCAGTTATGAAAAGGTAATTGTTCTGTTCAAAATAATTCAGGCACGATAGCTTGAAGGCTTTTGTCACCAACCTAATCTTTTAGGCAAGGTAATGTAATAATGCATGCCTACAGATAGTGCTACTGGAATTGCTTTCATTCTGTTAAGGGAACTACTTCTATAAATACAAAAACATAATATTTGAAATATTGTAAAGCTTCTTTGCATGTACAAACAATCCACAATTGTATTTTTCAGCTAGTTCTTTAGATCAGCCGTAGCAACACCCAAGCAACACCCACAGATCATTCAGTGCGTTCAATACATCAGTCCTAGAACAAATTTAATCCTTTCCCAAGCAATGACTTTATATAAATGACACACACAGTAATAAGCTCTGTAGCTGTTCTTTTTGTGGGGACTCACATGGTTGTTTAAGCCTGATAGAAGCAGGACAGAATGTTCATGGAGCAAACCGATAACTGGAAAGAGCACGGACCTTCCTTACATGACCACAGCAGTAATGCAGTGGAATCATAGTGAATTTGCTCACAGTCCTTTAAATGAAAACAAATCACAAATATATAATTCAATGCACTTATTAAATTCGTTTATACTACAGTGCTGTTGAATTCTCAAATCTGATTGGTTAGAAGGTGTTGATTTTGCTATAACAGCACAGCACAGTTTTCTGTTAGAAGATGTTTATTTACCCTTGGAAGAAGTCTCAGGCATTGGTGCTTTGTATCAGTCAGTAAGTTTTCACCTACGGTTGAGTCTTTAGGACATTTGTTTGTTATTAATTTTAAGAGAGAGAAAAAAGGGAGGCTCGTGAGGGAACCAATGTTAATACAAAAGTTTGTGGACACCTGACCATAACATTCATAAAGCATGTGCTTGTTGAACATCCCATTCCCGATTTAGTCCCAATTTGCTGTTATTCTCCACTCTTCTGGGAAGGCTTTCCACTAGATTTTGGCACGTGGCTGTGGGAATTTGTGATCATTCAGCTACAAGAGCATTAGTGAGATCAGGCACTGATGTTGAGTGAGGAGGTCTGGGGTGCAGTCAGCGTTCCAGTTCATCCCAAAGGTGGTCAGTGGAGTTGAGGTCAGGGCTCTGTACAGGCCACTCGAGTTCTACCACTCCAACCTTGGCAAAACATGTCTTCATGTGATAAGGACAATGTGCACAGGGGCATTGTCATGCTGGAGCAGGTTTGTGCCTCTTAGGTCCAGTGAAGGGAAATTGTAATGTTATAGCCTACAAATACATTCTACACAATTTGGTGCTTCCAAATTTGTGGCACAAGTTTGGGGAAGAACCACATATGGGTGTGATGGCCAGTTGTCCGCAAACTTTTGGCTATATAGTGCATCTGTTTTAAGGTAAAAGATAACAGGAACTAACTTGTCTCTCGGATGTTCCATAACATTAAATGTAACTATTAATGGGTAAAAAGTGCAATGTGTCATTCACTGGTAAATTAAATATTGTAATCATCAGCAAAACACTTTGGTATAAGAAGAATAAAAAACTTTGGGCTATGCTAATGAAAAACACTTTGGGCTATGCTATGAAAATAATCCACTCTGCTTCACATTGGGCTGTATCACACCAACCCCTATGTATTATTTTCTATAACAGCATTATACTAATTTTAAGAAAAGAATAACATTTGTGGGAAAACATGCCCATCCAGCTGTAGGCAGAGGACTTTAACACTATGTCAATATTCTCTAGTAAGTACCCCATATTTAAACATAGGTAGTTGCAATGTTTTCAATAAGAATTAGCCATTATTGTCACTATTACTATTTGTCATTGTCACTATACATTGTATACACACCATTACTACCACTATTTGTGTTTCTCAAATATTTATTGCAATGACAGTATTTATAACTCGCACTATAAAGGACAATCATTTGCATTAAACTGTGAAACGATTTCAGAGTTTGCCTTTGTATTATGCTTTAGCCTATTCATTTCATTCACTTAATGAAAAAAATTAACTTTTTGTTTTTATGCTTGATAGCTAAGGTATCAGATCAGTGTGCATTTGAAGGAAAACCAGCAAATGCAGTAAATCTAATAAATTGCCATGGAGACTTAGTGGTAGTTACCTTGATGCAGCTCAACTCCCCCATATTAAGAAAGAAGTGCCTACCTCTCATTATATTTCTTCCTTATAGATATTCACCCATTGTACTTAGGCCTAATCAATAAAGTGCACATTAGAAATGTAAGATTTTCTAGGGAAGTCACAAGGTGAACCTAGCAATTACAGTACATAGCTGCAATGGAAAAATGGGTCTCTTTCATGCTAGATTCTGTTAGCTGTTATAGTGCAGACAGAAAATCATGGCCTATAACAACGTGCATAGTATACGTTTATTTTTAATTACATAACATCAATACTATATGGTTGTTGTTCTTCTTTCAGCTGCTCCTGTTAGGGGTCACCACAGAAGATCAATGGTCTGCATATTTTTTGATTTGGCACAGTTTTTACACTGGATGCCCTTCCTGATGCAACCCTCCTCAATTTTATGGGGGCATGTGACCGGCAATGGGAGTGCACTGTCGTGTGCAACCCTAGTGGCTGGGTTTGTTGCCCTGGCTGGGAATTGAACACGGACCACAGGGGTGAGAGTGCCATGACCTAACCACTAGTCCTCCAGGGACCCATTAATACCATGTAGTATATTCTGTAAACCTTGTGTTAATCATGAGTGGTAATGAATGTGTCTCATTCTAATACAATCTGGTTCCCACCATCATCTAAACAAGCTCCTCCTGAGCTGGGTATCAAATTATGCTGAACCCTGAGGTTAATAACATTGTGGGTAAAACAGCCGGACCACATACTAAGAAATGTATTTACTATCGTTGATGTTCTGTAGAACATTTACCTTCAGGAATCACAACCTCATCATAGGATTCAGGTTTATAGAGTGTGTGTTTTGTTGTCTTAAAATGGAGATGATTTGGTGCTCAGAATTGCATGAGTACAAAAGGGAACAGATGGTTTAAATGCAAACATTGTTTCTCAAATGATCAAAGAGTTTGCACCTGCTGTACCTTTGTGTACTATGTTGTATTACCTTCTCCTTCTCTCTTTCCCTCTCTTTCAGACATTTGCATTATTGTCTTTAGCCACCATGAATAATTAAATACTTCTTACTTGTACATTTCTTAATGCCAGTTCCTTTCTTCAAGGCATTGCGGTTGAGTTTGCAGTTAAAATTATTCTCCCAGAATTCAGCAAACCAGACATTCCTCCTGTTGTTTTCCAACGTTCGCCCGATGAAATAATTATCAAACCCTGAGATCAGACAGGTCATATCAGTGTCAACGTCCACAGAAATTCAATTTCATAAGGGGCAGGATTAAATGTGTAATCCTATGATTTAGATTATCATACTATTAACAGTTTTGTTCACACAATTGATTATGGGCCTATATATATACTGTTGTATTATGTAGTGTCATCAATCTGGCTGATGTACACTGGCTAATAGAGCAAACTGTACAATAGAGGGTATTAGATTCAGGGATTAGATTGAGTCAAAAAGAGAACCTAATCGTTGATCTACCTTTGATAGCCTGGCGTTTGGGTAGGATGGTGATAGCTCCCTCCGCCATTTCCTCTTGGTGTAGCACAGGAGAGATCTTAGAGCCCCAGCTGTCTGATCCCACCCAAATAAAATGTCCTGTTTGGTTGGCTTTCTTTGCTGCCTGCAGGAGTCGCCTTGAAAGAGAAAGAAGATAGCTCAAATTCACAGTTAAAACTCTATACGCCCTGAGTTAATATATTCTTCATTGTCTACTACTCTGATTTCCAGACAATAAAACACATCAAATGGATAGTTTGATAATGACAATAAAATAACAACAAAACAAATGACCAGACTATTTGAATTACACGCTTTAGTTGCTGATGGAAAAATGATTTCAAAAGCATATTATAGAGTTGTATAAAAATGGTAAACTACAAAAGCCATTTTCAATTCAGAGTTAAACTGCAATTCCTGTGTGATCTACTGCTACTTTTTCCAAACTTGCAAATGACTTTAAACACATTGATAATGAATAACACAACCCTGACAACAAATTATGTATTCATTAATTATAAGAAATTAGCATGTTTGAGTTTTTACATATCTGGTTCTTTTCACTGAATACTGAAATTGAAAAAAAATAGTAGATGCTGCATTAGCTGCTGTTGCTAGCTATCAATATGTTCACCAAATATTAGGAGGTGTTAAAAAAATAAAACAAACAAAAGAATTTACCAGTTTTCACAAATTCAGGTTGAACTATATTCCTAAATTCAAGGAATATAGTTCAACCTGGAAATCCATTGTCTACTCTAAAATGGTGGTACAAATGACATGACACCAGTGTTTTGATTAGCTTGTTTTGTCAATAACACATTGACCTTTACATGTCTGTGGTGGCTGCCACCTCCCGCCATAGCTCTTGGCACATTAATTCCCACCCTCACTTCACAGCCCCTAAAATATAATGCAAATTTTATTAGACTCTTCTGGCAAAACGCCTAAAATAGACTAGGAAAAAATCACAATAAAGCGAGACATAAAATAAGAGCCAATTTGTAAAGCTGTCTTTGGAGGTATGTAACTGCAGATGGAAATTGTAGCTTTTTTGTGTAAAGTTTACATTAATCAAAGCAAAGCAGGCCATGCTGTTTTAATAAAATAATCCACGTTGGGGTGGAGTGATACAACCCAACACTCAGAAGTGGATTATTTTCCTTTAATAGCACAATCCACAATGTGCTATTCCTTTTATACTACTGTTACGGGGAGGGCTCGGTACAGAGATGGAAACAGTACTGAGCAGTGCCCGCTATACAAATGGATAAAAGATGGCAAATATCAAAAAGGAGCTTGTGTGCCTCACACTGGTGGGCTAACCACTACACTGCCCACAACAACATTAACATGCTGTTAATTTATGGGTCTGGAAGGTTAAATGGATTTCAGCTAACATGCTAAAGTTAGCCTCTGTTCACACAAGAAACCCCTCATTCTTTTCACTTGGGTAGGATTTCAGCCATTTGTTCATGATACACTGCATGCACCATGCTACAAGACTCACACTACAGCGGGTGTCAGAATCCCCTGGAAGCTGAAGACAAGCATCAGCACAGCATTAACCATCTTAAAGATGCTCTGTACTGCTGTAATCTGGGAGCTCTTTCCACACTGATAATGACTTAGTAATTGAACTGCCACATTCAACTCCACCCTCAGCGAAAATGGAAAAATGGTTCTGGGTTGGCCTCTAGTAGCTCACAGTTGCCACTGACAGGCTCTAAACTAACTATGGCAACCACTCTTAAAATGGTGGTGACCCGAGGGGGATTGGATGATGCTATACAATCCACAGCATGAAATGTGCTTTTTTCTCATAGTGCTGATTGTGACAGGCTTTAATATGCCACGGCGCAATGATTTTATTAGCACAAGGGATCTTTAACTGAGGATTTGAACAGATATCTCAACAGATATCCATGGTGTGTGTTCTAACTAACATGAAAGGTCACAAGCTGGTCAGAATTGTCTGCCACTGATGCCTGGATTGCAGTGCTGGTCGTCTCATGAGATGAACCACTACATCAGATGTGTGCTGCCTACGTGATGAATACAGATGCACTGATTAAGTTCTTCTGGGAACTTCCGATATTGCATCATGTGCAGCACACACTGGCAATACATTAGCCATTTTACTGGTAGCATAGGAAGAATCACTGCATTCTACAAAGTTGATCTCCTTGTGACGGTGCTGATCCACACGCCACTCCTAGCAGACGGACACCAAGGAAAGGATATGGGGTGACTATGTGGAGTAACTGTCCACTAACCTAGTTTACACATGGTGCATAATACACTTCTCTAATGTATGCCAGAGTCACTCTTTGGGTCTGTAGCCGAAGAAGCCCTGGAGAGGAGAGCGCAGGTTTCTGAGTCACAAAACCAGCATGACCAAACAGACCATCCATACGGGTCACCACTTTAGGGTCACTACTACCCGATTCAATGTTCCAATGCCTGAAAAGATTTTGCTTGCCACACACAAACCTAAGGTAGTGATTAATGCCTCAGGCCCCTAGCAGGCATCTGGGTGACGCCTAAAACACTGCCCAGTGGGTGGGTCCTGATTACAATGTCACAGGGATACAAACTCCAGTTCCAACCTTCTGGGCTCAAGGCCTCTTCAACATCAGACCACAACAAAGTTGGTCTGACCCAAGAAGTTCTTAGGCAGAGGTGTGATCAAAAAGGTAGACCCCACAGTTCAAAACAAATTATTCTACTAACATAAAAAGTCAGCTTGAAAAGAGGAATAGACTTTTTACAGTTGGTGCCTCACACAGAAACTCCAAATTTCCGACTATTCCACACCATCTAACTGCGTCAGACTGCATAATGATTTGCACTGGCGTCACCCTGCTATGGTAAACCACTACACAGTTCTAGTGCTGGGAAAAAAGTGGGAGTGACAAAACCCAACCTTTAAATGCAGCAAGGTTTGTTCGTGTATTTTGTACATATTTTTAGGAGCTTAGTACTCGTAAAAAGCTACTAAATAAGGTATGAATGGGGGTGGGTTGTCTGTACTTGCTTGCTGCATCGCCGACATTGTATTGCAATGGTGCAGCAGCACCAGCTCCAGGCTAATTAGCCAGATGCCTAGCTCTTAAATGACTAGACATCTAGAGCAAGTGTTGAAGGTTGCAATTATCTTCTTGTAGTCCAGCCACTCTGCTAATCCCTGTCGCTTTAGCCCCATTAAAAAATGTGTCTACATTGTCATGGTCACTTCATTTTTATACCTTTTTGCACTCACCTTATATCATCTTCATTTGCAAAAATTATGACCACCCTGGCATTGGAATTTTCTCCAAGGTTGTGGATAATCTTGTCGAACTCTCCTGGCTTTGGTTCACGAGGGATTTTAACCGTCTGTGATATACACACATTTCCTGCAGAATGTAAAAAGAAACATTTAATGAGGAATGATTCTTGTAACTTCAAGTTGTAAGTTCTCTTTCATGTCATTTGTTTTCTTAGTTCAACAGAAGTATCCAAAAATAATTTCACCACCAGATCACACAGTGAGCCATACACACTTAAAAAAATGTAGAACGCTTAAAGGTTCTTCAGTAGTCCTTCTGGATGAACCCTTAAAAGCTCTATGTATTACCCCATGACAAAGTCTTTTCATATCAGAAAGAGTTAGAATCCTTTTTAGAAGTTAAGAACTGTTAATTATCCGACAAACTCTTAAAGAACCCCTGAAAAACCCTTGTATGTATTAAATGGGAAGTGTTTGACACAAACTCCAAATTATTGGTAATTGTTTTTTTTTTTAGAACTTCTCAGGCATTTAAAATGTAGCTAAACAGTCTTGGCACTTGGCACACTCATAGAAAAATAAAAAGTCTTCTAAACTTCTTAATGGTCTTAATGGTTCATAGCCTCTGAAATGGCTAACAGCTTGGAAGCCTGTCAGGAAAATCCTCTGTTATAGAGTTCTTTAAAGAACCTTTAATGGTTCCACCAGAGGGACAACCAAAGAACCCTTAATGGTTTAATATTTTTTAAGTGTGCAGAGCATAACAAATAAATAATTTCAGGCTTTCTTTAACTAAGAT